GTGAGCGGGAACCGGTCTCCACATGGGATCCGAACCCTCGGCGGGAGCGCCGCTGCGCTTCCAAGCGGCACACTCTCCAGTGCGCCACCGGGCCGGCCCTAAAACTTATTTTAAAAGTGTGTTTGTGGGCCGGCCTGGTGGTGCACTCGGTAGAGGGCAGCACTCCCGCGGAGGGTTTGGATCCCATATAGAGACCGGTCCGCTCACTGGTTGAGCGCGGTGCGGGCACGACATCGAGGGTTGCGATCCTGTTGCCAGTCGTGGTATGGGCACGACACTGAGGGTTGTGATCCCGTTACCGGTCACGAAAAAAGACAAAAAGGAAAAAAAAAAGTGTGTTTGTGGGGGATTAATTAAAATTTTTCCCAGTAGCTACCCAGTTTTCCCAGAACTATTTATTTTCTGTTGCCTTCTTCATAATTTACTACAATGTATATAATCTAACTTCTTAAATATGCTAGGGTCTATTTATTGCTTTACTTTTTTTCTTTCATGATTGTTGTAATGTTAGTACCACATTGATTTGTATTGTAACTTTACAATATTTTTTACTGTCTCATTAAGTGTTTTAACCCTTTTCCTAGTTTACTTTTTTCAAAAATGTCCTTAGTTTCTTTTAATGACTTTTATTTAGAAGAATACAGATATTGCATTGAATTCTCTTCATGTTCCCTTTTCTTCTACCCTCATTTCCCATGGCCCCCTTCCCCACCCCTCAAAAAAACCCAGACAGTAATCAAAATTCAAGTTATTTTGACTAGGATTATATTAACATGTAATTTAATTTTGGAAGAAACGACTTCTTCATATCATACCATCTTTCTACATAGGAACGTTTCTTTATTATATATTTGAGTAAATTTTATTTATAGTGCTCCCAGTTTCTTGTTAGCATAATTATTTTTGTATTGACTTTGATTTGTAATATGTCTAATATATAATATTTTGGATTTGTGTTATAAAGATGAAAAGGTTTTACAAATTATTTTTATGACTCATTTTGCAGGTACTCTCGTTTACACATCCCATCTCATTTCATTCTGCTGAAACATTTGAATCACTCCTGGCTTGTCTGAAAATGGATGATGAAAAAGTAGCAGAAGCTGCACTACAGATTTTCAAAAACACAGGAAGCAAAATTGAAGAGGATTTCCCACACATCAGATCGTGAGTTGAGTTTATTTTGATAAATATTCTGGACATTAAAAAAATAATTTCCTGTTTCTTAATTTGTGTAATAATTGGAGTCTTTCAAGTTTTAGAAAAAAACTATCTAGGTTATCTTAGTCTATACTGTTCAATTTAGATTCTCCTCTCCTGAGAGAAAGCACTGATTGGTATTTTAGAAGATACATGAACGTGGAGGATAAACATGGCATATTTTTCTGAAGCATTTAACAGTTTTTGGTATATTATGCAATAAAATAAACAATAAAAATGAATTTGAGGTACAATGGGAAATTCCAAAAGAATTTCAATAGGACTGTCAGTACTACTCTTTCTTCTGTAATTAAGGGTACTGGACCAAAAATTTTCAGAAGTAGTGCTTTACTTGACATAGGGAAGTAGGGGAGCCTGAAATCCTTGTCTTAACTGCAGTATAATTTTTTTCTGTGTTCTGGTATTTCCAAGAATTGGAAATTGAGGTGTTATGTTATCCTAGGGCTCTCTAATAGTGGTTGATCATTGTTCAAGATTCCATAATAGCTCAAAGGAATAGAGGTCTTCATTCCTTATAAGGCACTGCTTACTTCCCTGTATTTCCTGTATACCTCTCCTCCTTGTTTCCGAAGAGATCACATAGGTGGTCCTGTTACTACCATAGTAACATAGGTGGTTGATTTCACTTCTACCTCATCGCTTCTTGCTTAGCCAGTGGTCTAGTTACTTGCAGTTCAGATAGCATGCTTCTTCATGCAGGAGAATTGCCTTTGGTCCTTTTTCTCAGAAAGAGATTGTGGACAAAGCTGGCTCTTAGAGTCTCAGGAATAATTTTTGTTATTCCTTTCTGTTCATGTGAAATTAATCAATTCTAGAAACGGTTGATAAATAGGACAGAAGCATTATTTAAATAACAATTGAAACCCCAAATTTTATAATAGTCTTGGTAAGAGTAAGAAAACTTATTGTTTAGAGCTGGCTTAATTTTTAAGTGAGCTCAGAGCATAAGTTTCCTTTTGGTATTGTGGCTCTCCTAGTCATATCAGAGATCAGAGTATATATATGTGTATACATATATACACACACATTATATATACACACACATTATATGTGAACTGTGTATAACTAACTGTATACTGAATGTACACCTATTGTATCTTTTTTTTTTCCTATAGGGATCCAAACCAGTGACCTTGGTGTTATAAGGCTGCATTTTAACCAGCTGGGCTAATGGGCCAGCTGTGTATCTTACTTAAACATTTTAACAGTTCAGAAAAGTGTGTTTATTATCTTAATCTTCCAAATGAGAAATCGGATATCCAGAGAGGTAAACGGTGCCAAGATTTGAATATAGGCCTCTTTGGCTCCAACACCTATGGTACCATGTCCATGATGACACAGTTCCTTTCTTAATTAGAGCTTTGAACAAGTTTTAGTTTGACTTATACACTGGAGAGGTTTTGTTATTTTCATTTTAGGCTGTCTGTCCTACTACCCTTTATTTTTTAAAGAAACATTATTTGATACATTATAGGAGAATTACGAGAGCAAGGCCAAAAGGTGGACCTTTTAGAACATGGAAGGGCAATTTAAAATATACCTTAATATGGAATGAAGTACTTAAAATTATTTGATTTATATGCTGGGTATATTTCAAATGTCTCTCATGAGGAAAATTAACACAGCTGATATTGAACACCTGCCGTGGGCACACACTGTTCTTGATGAAGTAACTCAGTCTGCATCTTCCAAGAGATAAATGTGTGCAGATTTTATGTTTTAAATTATTAAATTGGGTGAGTTAATTTTGAGGAAAAATAGTAGGGTTAAAATGAATGTTGATTAAATTATTTTCCCTTGAAGTCCCCAAAACAATTAAAAAGAACCAAAAGAAAAACGGAGAAGCTATCATAAACTGGACAGAATTGTCATCAGATATACCATTTAGACTTTATCAGCACCACACTCTCCCGAGTGAGTCACGGGCCGGCCCCTATACCATTTAGACTTTAAGTGCGAGAACATTGACAATTGATACATATCCCTGAATCAGGTGTATAAGGGGATATATAGTAAGTTTTCTATTATTTGCTAAGTTAGTGGAAAGAGACTGAGGTATGGACACGCTTTAAGAGAAATAAGGAGAACCTGATTTTAGCTGTAATAGGTCTAAAGGAGAGGCTTTGCGGTCATACCATCTTTCTTTACGCCAATCTGTTTTCCTTACTAGGAAAAGCAAAGCTTAGAGGTGAGGTAAGACTAAGAAGAGACTTGTGAAGGAAATGCTTTTTTAATCAACTTTACAGAAACAGAAAAAATTTATGTGCTGACCCACTAAACAAAAATGATGATTAGTTATGGGGTTTTGTTCTGACTCAGCTTGTCTCTCAGGAGTCTTGCTCACCCCAGAGTAGGTAGAAGTGCCGAAACTATGAGTCCCCTTATAGCATATGATAATACCCATAGCCCAGTTAGAGCTAGTTCTTATTTTTTTTTATTGAATCATAATTGATTATACATATTTCTGGGGTTCAACATTGACATATGTTGATCAATCAATATTATTAGGATATACATTATTACAAATCATAGTTATTCTTTATCCCCCTTATCCAATCTCTCCCTCTTCCCTCTCTGATAACCCCAGATTTCTTCTCTCCTTCTGAAAGTGTAATGGTTACTCTGTTGATTTGTTGCCTAGATGATCTGTCCAGTGCTTAGAGAGGTATGTTCTGTTATCATAGAGCAGATGCTTCTTCTATCACTCTGGAATGAGCTTTGTGGAGAGAGACATCCTCTTCTTTCCTTTGGTCTCCAATGCTGACTCTCCTTGTGTCAATGCACTCGAGTGGCTGGTGGGCCTTCTGCCCAGTGGTTGTGGCGTCTAATTGCTTTTACAGTAGCCATGGCTATTGCGGTGCTGTGGTGGGCCATCCCCATTGAGGTGGTGTTTCTTGGCGTGTTTCTTGCCTGGTTGTGGGAGGAGGTGTCGGTCCTCAGATCCATGCCTCAGGACCCCAGGTGGGCCCCGTGGCAGCAATAGTGTGCCTGGTTGTGGGAGGAGGGGTAGTCCCTGACTCCATCTGTTTTTATATTTTAAGATGTTATTGCAGAGCAGTTGGGTGAGAGGGGAAGAGGGAAGGAAAAAGGGTGGGAGAAGGAGGAAGGGGGGGTGTGGTTGAGGCCTGTAGCACACCCCTCATTCCTGCATGGGAGACCAGGGGGCTTCCTGTGGTGGCTTGGTCATTGCTGGGCTGAATGCAGATGTCAGGGATGTGTGGCTGAAGCCCTCGGGCCCCCACTGCCCTAGCTCAGGAGACCAAGGGGCTTCTAGTGGTGGTTTGGTAGTTGTCACTGGGCAGGTTGCAGATATCGGGGAGAGGAGCTGTGGCTGAAGCCCTTGGCTCCCCACTGCCCAGCTTGGAAGGCCAGGGCTCTTCTTGTGGCAGCTCGGAGGTTGTCACTGTGTTGGGGGGTGTGGCCAGGGCTCTCAGCTCTCCACAGCCCTGGCTTTCTGTGGCGGCTTGGTGGTTGCTTCTGGGCTGGTTGCAGGTGTTGGGGGGCATGGCTGAGGCCCCCGTCCCTCCACAGCTTGGGAGCTCAGGGGGCTTCCGGTCCTTCTAGGTTTTATAGGTGTTCTTTGGTGATGTGAGAACTTTCCTAGTTAATATCAGACTTTGTCTCTGATGTGTGGGTATTTTGTTTTTTCTTTCAGTTCTGTGTTGGATTATTAGCTGCTCCCACCACTTAAACTCTGCACTGGAACTAATTTGTTGTCCTTTGCTTACTTCTAAAATGTAGGAATTTCCTGTCAGAAACAGCACCTGAGCTGTAACTTGTAGTTGAGCTAAATTGCTACTCGGCCGCTGCTTCCCTGGGGAAGGCTTTTTGTGCAGCTCAGGTTTTAATGGTTGACTATGTAGGTACTTCTGGGTTTCATGAGATTCAGTAAATGTGGGTTATGTAGAAACTGTAGTCTTTTCAGCAAATTGCTCCCCCTACAGTTCTGTATTTCTGACCAGTCTACACAAAGTGGGCTTGTGCTGACTGAAGCGCAGGTTAGTTGTCCTTGCTTTGGCCCAATGTTACCCTGGTGGGCCTGTCTCCCCCACCGCCCATACTCCAAACACTTCCCATGGGACAGGCCATGCGCAGGTCCCTTGGTGATGACTTACCAGCTTTGAGTGACTCCTTTTTTCAGTTGTTGTGGCTCCTTGCTCCTATGTGGGTCCATGGGAACACTGTTAGGTGGTCTTGCTGGTCTGAGGGCCACCAAGGTCCTCTTCTCCCCAGTAGCCTTCAAGCAAGTTCATAGGAAGGGCACAGCTGTGGCTTTTGCCAGCTCCTGCTCTGTGTGCTCACCCTAGTTCTCCTTCTTGTAGGACTTTAATGGACTTGGAGAGAAATTACACAGAGATAAAGGACTTATTACCTTTAATCCTGTATTCCTCCCCTATGCTCCCTAGCTAGTTAAGCAACTGTATAGCCTGAGTCGGTAGCTTTGATGTTAATTTTTTAAGAAAAGTGTTCAGTGTCCGATTATCAGGAAGACATTACCTATACTTTTGTTTAAATTTGCAGAGTCAGAAAGAATTTTTCTTCTTCAAAGGTGAATTAACAGAATACAGATAAGCAAATTAACAAACAGCAAAACCTATGTAAATATTTTAGCATTCAAAAGATATCTGATAAGCACTCTTTAGAAGAATTGAATTTTTCTAGAAAAAAAGAAAATCTTAGACAGTTGTTTTAAACTGCCTAGAAAGTTAAACAGCAAATGACATCTGGGGGGAAAAAATAAGGTAATATCTAAAAAAGGAACTAAAGATAAAGAAAAGCAGAAACATATTTGCATTATAAAATATAATGGATTATAAGTAACAAGGAACAGAATAAACAACATAGAAGATGGAATCAGTAAGCTAGAGGTAGAGCTTGAGGAGATCTGCATAGAATATGGAGAAAATGGGCAAAAAATGAAGGCAGTTAAAGAGAATGGGTTGCAG